ACGTTGGGTCCCCAGGCCGCCGGAGACACAAAAAACCTTCTGGTAATGGCTCATATTGACATACTGTGGAGCTGGACTACCTGGGCAACCTCTGCAAGGTCCAGCCTAGTGTTATCAGCAGTAAGAATGACTCTAGTCCAATGCAGGACTAGTGAAAGAACAGTCACAAATGAGGAGGGAAAAGCTGCCAGAGGCCTCCACATAAAAAACCCACACCTGTTTGTCTCATTGTTGTCTTTAAGTGCACCTGTAATTTCAGCAGCAACTCTCTGCTCCTTAACTGAACAGATCAGTATCCCATCTGGTTTAATTGACTAGATGCCATAATCTGCTTAAAACGTGTTGCTTTCATTTTTCGGAGCTTTGTGATATTTAACCGCTCCCTTGTCAAAAGGCGTCACCACAGTGGGTAGCTCTTTGGCAGAGATGCAACCTCAAATGGGATTTGTGTCTCTGGCAGAAAATGAATGTGTTAACCACTACACTATGTAGCCATTCTCTTTCTCCTCCCAGTCTCCTTAAAAAAGTGTCGGTCTTTACTTGTGCCCAGAGTTTGCATATTTACTGTCACTTTCTTATTGAACAGCAGTTCCTTTGTTGACATCCTGTAAAGCTTTATGAAAAGGATGAGAGGCTTTTTCATCAGTATGAATGAGGTTGTTTTAGCTTTCCTGGTTTGATTTGCAGCTTTCCTGAAGGATCAAAGCAGTCGGTGCTCCCGTCACGTGGTCCTGGATCAGGACTGCGGCCATCTGCCAGCCCTCAGCATGGATAGCTACACTGACACCCAGCTGTTTAGTGTGAGTCTCACATTTACTGAGCTACACACTGGTTGGCTCTTAAAATCCACTCTTTAATACAGTGTATTGTTGAAGTGAAGTTCACTTTATGCCCAGGAATTATAATGTCATTGAATTTGAATTGCAGCTAATGAACAGCATGCACACCTGTTTTGTGTTCCTTAACTATATAGAGTTTAAATATAGATCATTAATTAAAAGGTTTAAAGTGAAATGTTTTGTGCTTGACAGGATATGAGCACAGATGCAGCAGTAAGTATCCTGACCTTTCTCTATTTGTTTAACTCTGAAACAGTTAGTATGTTTATCAGAGTTAAACATACTAACTAATTATCAGTTAACTGATAAATAAAAAAAAATCCAAGTTAACAAGATGAGGTCACAGACTCTTAAATGTGTTCATTAAAAACAGTGTAGATGTTATAAACAGTTAATCTGACAAAACAGACGACCTG